ACCGGTCACCTTCGCCCTCTACTTGTGTAAATGTATTGTGTCCGTGATAGAGTGAGAAGGAACTAGTTAAGTCCGAATTGCGACGTGCAGACAGTAAGTTCATGTTTATGTGCTCTGCTGGAAACGCGCTTACCGTGAGGTGACTCTCCTAGCATCTGTTTGGTTACGCCAAATGGCCAAAAGGCCAAAAGTGTTTCTTTCTCTACTCGTCCTATTACGGCTGCCAGACAGTCAACCCTTATCCTGATTGTTTATGGCCCCTGCGCATCGGTGTGTGTGCGACCCGTTTGACCACTGATGGCTTGCCAAATTTGTAGCCCGCATGGCGGACTGCATGCGATCCGGAGAGTTTGTCCAGTGTGTGAACGTCTGCTATGGCATGATCAAAAAACCATGGCGCTCTGGCAGTCCTCTGGTACCTACCAGTAGATGCGTTTGCGCTCCCACTGGGTACACAGGTCGTACGCATGGCTGCCCAGTGACTTTCGTCATCCTCCTCTTTCTGATCCATTTTTGTTGGTTAAAATCCTGATCAAGTGTTTGTTGTGGACCAGGTGGTGTGGTGGGGGTCCGGTCGTGCCAGCCACCTGCGCACTCCCCGCCTCCGATCTTTTTGACTCTGTCTTGACACCGGGTCTAGGTGGGGGAGGGGGGAGTGCGGTAGATGCTGCGCAAGTCGCCGTGCCTGCTCCACTTTGCTTTGGAGCACACGGTGGACATCATCGGTTACGACGGTCGGACTGTCGCGTGTGCGGTTCCTCTCGATAATGGCAGCAACTAAACCAGAAAAGGCCATTCAGCCTTCTTTATATTTGCCAGTCCTTCTTCCTTTTGTGTTGAGCGAGAGTGCAAGGAACCTGGTCTCTCCCCTGCAAGTCTGATTTGGCGGTCTCTCGCACTGCAGGCAAGCTCCAGTAGAAAGAATGACTAAGGTTAAAAGGAACGGGCTGTGATGAAGCGTTCAGTAAGTTGACCAGTGGAGGATTAATTTGACTTGGTGTATGAAAAAAAACGTGGGAACAGGGGTTGGATCCTGCGACAGGTGTGTTAGGGGGTGCGATAGACCCTGCGCAAGTCCGCTATTACTATAAAGTAATCCACATTGCAGGCTGAACTGTCTCGCACCAGAAAAGTTAAAAGAAACAAAGCTCCCGTTTTTCCAATGCGGCGGAAATGGCTCATTTCTCAATAGATATTTTATGCTTCAGACACTATGCTGACGTTTTCGTTTCAGTTGCTTAGGAATTAAAATATCTGGCAGTTTCTCCAAGAAGTCCGAGTCAGAAGCCAATGTAATAAGGCGAAAACAGAGTAAATAACCACATTTCGAAATTTCGGTTGACATTTCATGAGTTAGCCCACCTACTGTAACTGAACTCGATAACCGCTTTTCTTAGTTCCTTCTAAAGCAATTTAAATGCAAGCCCTAGAACCCTGGGTTCAGTCGGAGCGCGACTGTCGTTGAGCTCGATAAATGCGGAACGAATGGTCTTGGGGGCAAAAGAGAAGTCGAAGCCCCGATGGCTGGCCCGAAAACCACATTCAAATGACGTTTCCGAGTTACGTTTGCATCCGTTAAAGGGAATAGCACCAAGGAGAGATGGTGCAGTTGCAACGCAACATACCATTCGTAGTTAGTTCGATATCCGCTTGGTCGACCACCTCCCATCCGCTAATCAGTGCCACTTCATAGTCTATGTTCGCTCTTTGCTACTCTCCTCAGACCAGTGTCCATCCGCTCCCTTACAATGCAAGCAACTACTCCGTCCAGAAAACGTCTAGAGGTTAAATATGAAAGTGGACCGTCTCTGTATCCGTTGGTAGACCGCTGACCGGAGAGTCGACAATTCGGCTGTCGTCGACGTCGAAGCCCACCGTGTGCTCCACAGCAGAGTGGGAGCAGGGACGTTGATTTGCACGTGAATATATTTAAAGCGATGGTAAAGTCGCCCAGCATACACTGAATTCTGTCCTCCCCTACCGGGACCCGGTCTCAAAACAGAGTCCAGAGGACCGGAAACGGGAGAAGATCTGAGCCTGGTCAAATGGGAACGCTCGGTCAGTTCCCGCCTATCGAATTACGACCTCACAGTCGACGTCAACCTACCTCATGGCCGATTGTGTTCAACTGTCTCCTTGTCCATATTTGTCCTACCGTTTCTTCGACGTGATTGCTTAGTTCGCCACATCAACAAATCCGATAAACGGATTCAGACGTATCCAGAGGTGTTGGCCGGCCCTCCGGCCTCCACATGACCCCTGCTAGTTGTCTCTGGTCTATGTTTAACTTCCAACGAATGTAAAAAGGTAGCTGATGGCTTCTGGGACGTTCTTGACGTACATATGCAATTTTCCTGCCGCGCTTTGTAGGTGCCGCAACTCAACAGGTCCTCATTCTGGTTGACTACCGTGCAGTTCAGGATGCCAACAGAGTTCTCCCATACAGTTGAGTTTGCGACTGGTTGTGTGAATAGCGTTTAGGCTTGGTAATTGCGTGCTCTATGATTCCCTCTGATATACTTCAGTTCTTACACTGGTCCAATCTGTTGTTGGGATTAATTTGACTTCCTCACTTTCAAAAAAGTAACCACTGTTCGTCAAGCCCCTTAGACATATTCAGACAAATTGTGACCGGATACGAGTTAGATCAGAATTAGGGCTCGTTCTGTACTGACTTCTCAGTCCTGTCCTGCTCGTACTGGACCTTAAATCATGGAAGTTATTTTGAATCTAAATGTCTGACGACCTAACAACTGAAAGAAATTCGCCGACCCAATCACGCTACGTTGTAAGTGGCGTACGGTCCAGCAACAAGCCGCTCACAGTAACCGTCATCGGTCGACCATCATTCGCCATACTAGGCAGGAGTCCTTCGTCTTTTCCGCCACAAAGCAGCAAAGCGCATGTTCGTAATCTGTCGGTTGCTAAAGTAATATTGGCCACAGTTATGATCACAGATCTAAGACTTAAGCACATACGTTTTTTCCGGTTTAAAACTTTTGTTGCCTTGGTGGCACTTTTCAGAAAATAAACCTGCTCCAGTATGGGAATCAAAACTTACAAATTTCAAATAATAGTCTATCTATATCTCTCCATTGCGAGCCTTGTTTTTCTCAACACCTGTACATTACTTAAGATCATGAAAAGTCGGAACTCTTCATAGAACTGATGTGTACGTCTTATGCCAAAATTCTACAACTACATTTGCCGGTAACTTGGTCCCTCGCTCTACCGGTCAGCAGTGATCAGGAATTATTGAATTCACTTGAGAGTTGATGTGTTTACTTTCAGTCGACTGCAGTGTAAACTACGAGAGCTCTGCTTGAGCCTGTAATTCCAGTCCATCTGCTTGTAATTATCCGAATAACGCCGAGCAACAGACATTATTATCGATTTTTTTCTGCAGCTTTTCGATAATCCCCTTAAATAAGACTGTAGTACTGACCTTTTCCTGCATTTCGGCATAATTTAGCAACTGCAGGGCTATAAGGCCTTTACGCAGTTCCTGGATGCGAAAGCTCAGCACTGGACGAGTAGGATCGCGTAGGTTCACCAGCTGGGCAAACAGGGGACCCTGGATCCTCGTGACGTTTATGTCCAGGTAGTCTTCTCTGGAAGCCGTCTCCGTACCCACAACGATGCAATCTTTGGGCAGAACCGAAAAGCTGCCGCCAATGTGTGTCAGATTTACCTGAAAAACAAGATTAAAAGAGGTGGGATTTATAACTTGCTTCATTTTTTTCAGCAGACTTTATTCTGGCAACGGATCCTGGCCACTGCGGCCAAATCATTTCTTACCAAGGTCAATCAAAGCCAGTTATATACGTGCTCGCAAAACCAGGCCGGTTGCTCATACCGCGTTCTGTGCGAACATCGGTTCGCCATATGATACTACCATCAGGGACCGGGATTACATTGTTTCTGGAGAATATAATCTGGTTTGCTATTGGCATAATATGAGCTCCTCATTTTATTGTATCTAGGCAGCTTACATTTCGCTTATTTTATCTGTCAGTGTATATTGCAGAACATTATCGACTTATGCACAATGAGTAACCGGTCTCATGTAATGTTAGCTGAAATTCTGAAATGTTTTTCGATTAGGGAAGGATTACTTGGTCGTGGTTGTAATACTGACTATCTTGCGGCATAATCTTATAACATTTCGGAGTCGGCAAGATGTCTGGTTTTGAATATGCTGCTTTTCAATCTCCCATAGGAACCGTACTCGATAAAAAATAACTACTCGTTCCCATCATGATGGAAAGGAGGACGTTTCCGAAACGTCAGTTTGAGTCCAATATGGTCCATGAATTCGCCCTCTCCTCTTCTTCGTCTTCTTCGGGAGATGATGAAAACGATAAAATGTGTTATCTACAAAATACCATATTTCATTTGTGATGATGTCCATCGTGATCAAACTGCGAAATCTGCCTCTATCCGCATACATGAGCATCAGTTAACGGTGAGGGGACGAGGTCATCTATCCAGGTGGCTATGCACACACTGGACACTGGACACAAATTTGCATGGAAGACCACTCGCATAGTTGGTGCTTGCCCAATAAGGAAAGGCCGCGAATTCCTGGGGACAATGCACTCAGATGAGGCATGCGCCAATCGGCATAACGATGTGGATGCCATGTATAAATTCCTCAAGGACAAATGGAAGCAAGCGCAGCCAATGCCGAGTGGACGACGAAAAACCACTGATGCGCATTGGCGCAGGCTTCGGCCAACCATAGAATCACTTGTTCGACACGGTTAAATAATGAAGTGTTTTTGTACATAGCCCAAAAGTCTGATGACGTGCTTGGGGAACCAGACTCGAAAATTTACGCATTAAAGTTCATTTTTTTCAAAAGAATCTTTCTTATTTTCAAGTAGTATAGTGGTGGGAAATACCCTGATATAAAGTAAGAACGGACTGTCAATTGTCGACCTTGCTCTTTCTTTCCTCTCCTATGCGCCCCTCGGCTGCCTGGGCCTGTCAACCAGCTGATGATGACCCTAGACGCAGTGGACGAAAAGGCTGAACGGCCCGTCTACGCGTGCCACACACGAGCTGGCTTCCCCGTCACGTACCCGGCTGTACAGTTGGCGCACTTTCCAAGTACGTGTGATGTGCGCGGTCCTGCATGCCAAACCTCACCAGCCCTGGTAAAGAGAATCGCATGCTTGTTGCAGAAGTGATGCAGAAACGTGTGGCGGAAAGGTGTCGCATGCACGCGTGTTTTGGGACAGATTTCTGTGTCACGTAAGGTGTGTGTGTGTGTGTGTGCAGGTAGGTGAAACTGCTCCCCCTCCCTAAAACCGGCCGCGCGATATGATGTGCTGGCCCATCACGGGGGACTAGATCGGATTCGGCAGACGTTATTGGGAATGCACATCCATAAAGAAATGCTAAAATTGGAGGAGTCGGGGCAAGACCAGGTGACAATTCGGTTCCGAGCCGCCCCTCTATTTTTCCTTGTATAAAATCCTGGTCAGGGTATGTCGTAGACTAAAGGGTGTGTTGGCACGCCTAGGTGCGGGTTTACGCAGTGCCAGCCACCTGGGCTCTCTCCCGCCTCCAGTCTTTTTCGACTCTGTCTTGACATCGGATCCAGGTGGAGGAGGGAGGGAGAATGAAGTAGATGCCGTGCACATTTATTGTTCCTTTTAAACTAACTCACATGTAAGTCAACACCCCCTTCTCTCATCCTGCTGTGGAGTACACGGTGGACATCATCGGTCCCGTGGTTGTTCAGTGGTAATTTTTGTGGATGTGCCTGTAGTCAAATAGGCAGATAAATATGCTAGTGCCTTAATCATTCTACACCTTTCCGGACATGGTTTACAAGTATGAGTCGGACGTCCAAAATGTATCCTCTTACGCCAGTTGGAAATACTTAAGGGAAATTTATGTGGTCAGTAACCATGGACAGTAAGACGTTCACGGGATTCGGAGAGAGTGTAATTGGATTTAACGTCTTGCGTCAAAGCCAGACAGAGTCAATCCGCCTAAGGAATAGCTCTCCAGCTTCTCAATAAAGTGAAAAATATGCATAATTCGATTTATTATTGGTTTCCGATTTCTGAATGGCAATCTGTTTTGCTGCCCACTTTGATATAAAAAAATCTTCATCCTTATGAGACGTTAATAATATCATGTGGAAAGCAGCTTTTCAATGTAAGGGCAGCAATATTCTGTGCTTATGGAGTCTTTTCTGCAAATGGTCACGAAGAGCTGCGACACTTCTCCGTCTAGGAAACTGATAATTATGACAATAATGACGATGATGGCGATGCCGATGATGGTTATGACGACAATGGTGCTGTTGCTGCTGCTCCTGCTGCTGCTGCTGCTGCTGCTGCTGATGATGATGATGATGATGATGATGATGATGATGATGATGATGATGATGATGATGATGATGATGATGATGATGATGATGATGATGATGATGATGATGATGATGATGATGATCAGGTCGGCAATTGCAAAAGTTCCGGGTCGATAATCTGAGAACTATGAAGGGCTCACCGGATCCGTGGAATTGAGTGGCTGAAGTTTCGGAGAGCTTGGCCGGCTCTCCAATATTAAAGGGTTTTGTGCAAAAAACCGACCAGAATTTCGAACAAAAGTTCTACGTCAACACCATGACCCGGTCACAACGGTCACATGGAGCTTGAAAACACCAAACAAACACGACCCGTCGACTAATTCACCTAAAGAGGGAGCACAGGTGCAAGCGAGCCCCATTGAGGTGACGACACGCAACGCAGGAGACCGCCTACAGTCCCAGACAACGGCCAGTAGGCCAGGGCAGCGAAAAAAGGGGAAAAATCGGTTAGCCCAAGACCAAATAATTCGGCCGTTCGTTTAAAATTCTGGCCGATTTTTCATCACAAATGTTTTGATAGTGAAGAGCAGGCCAAGCCTTCTGTAACGTCAACCAAACAAGTCCCTCTATCCAGCGAGCTCTTCAGATTTCTCGGATGATGGAAATGATGCACCAATATTTATTACAATGGAAGGAAAGAGTACAAAAAACTTACGTGTATGATGACAAAATGTTTTCCTTTATTTACTACTTTATATATACCCACTCATTTTACTTACCACTTTGATGCACCTTCCCAAAAAGTCATGAACTTCCCGAAGTTTTTTGCTTGCCATCATTCATTGAAAAGTCTTTTGAGTTTTACATGCTATATTTGTGTGGTGGCGACCACCAACTTGTTATGCTCCTGCTTTTGATGGTGTAACGTGGGAGGTTTTTCAGTTTTGCGGGCCTTTGCTCGACTGTTGCATGCTTCAGAAGTTCCGGTTCCGGCTGTAAAACTTTCCAGTGCATTCATGCACTAGCCGCTTCTAATTCCGGAACTTACGAGGTTTAAAAGTGCAACCGCCAATCCAGGACGTTCCCAACTTTTTCTAGCCCGTCACTTTCGTCCGTCCAACAAAGGGGGGGGGAGGATTTAAACTTCCCCCAACGACCGGACCAACTGTCCGAACGCTTAAAAGGATAGCTTCTTCTACGTCATCCTCATGGCTCCCATATCAGGCGACTGCACTTTAGTGGGACACAAACATGAATGCTCCGTACTCAATCTCCTCCTCAGATGATGACAGCTGCCCCACCTCCAGTGAAGTGCCCTTCCATGAAACACTCAGTAGGGCATGGCCACACTTCCTCCATATATGCGCACGTATAAACTTTCGCTTTTTAATTTCCTCAGAAATTACCTTCGAGTAGATCGGTTTATTTAAGGTCTATAGGCTCGGATCTAGAATTTTACAGTGCGTAACCTATCTCATGAAATGTTGGCTGAAATTCTGAAATGAGTTTTCCATAAGGATGAAATAATAACGTGGCGTTATAATATTACTCATCTTGTGCCATAATCTTATAATATTTCAGCCTTGTCAAAATATCGGCTTTTGAATGCATCTCTTTCCGACACCCTGCAGAAACGACGCTCGACAGAAAATGACTACTTAAGTAGCATATATTTTCACATTTATTTTCGATTGTCATATAAATCCAAATATTTTTTATGGATACCACACACAAAAATATGTTCTCTTTTGCTTGTTTGGTAGAAAATTCCATATTTTATACCTGAAAAAATGTATACTCAAGTTTTGGAATAGTTTCCCCTTCCCCGAATAATTTTGAGCCTGATCAGCCGTTGCATTAGCACTTAGCGACTTTGCTTTACAAGGTGTATGCTTTCCGCGCAGGGAGAATCATACATTCCTGTATGTCTTTAAGAAGTTGTCATACAAAGTTTCCAAAATTTTGCAATGGACGCGGGCCATGTTGTACATTTCGTGAGGGGCATTAGTAAACTGTCATGGGCGGTGCTATTTACATGGACATCTCACGGTCTTAAAAATCTCATAATGAGAAACCTATTCAAAACCCAAAGATAACCTCCCTCAGGATATAAAATGAGAACACAATGTGATTTTCTACCAAACGGGTAAAAGAAGGCATAGTTTCGTACATGTCGTCTATAAAATTTATTTGAATTTATAAGAAAATCGAAAATCATTGCGAAAATTGCATGCTACATAAGTAGTCATTTTCTACCGAGCGTCGTTTCTGCAGGGGATCGGAAAGAGGTGCATTCGAAAGCCGATATCTTGACGAGTCCGCAGTATTATAAGATTATGTCACAAGATGGTTACTATTACAACGCCATGTTAGTAATCCTTCCTAATCGAAAACTCATTTCAGAAGTTCAGCCAACATTTCATGAAATCGGTCACACACTGTATGTATGAACATTTGGGCCAAAGTCCATCACCCACAGCGGGTAACCGCGTAACATTCATTAACTGCCCACAGGCAACTAGTGGTATATTTTAGGGGAAGGTGATCCCGTACTAACAGCACAGGTACTAGCCAAAAGCTCATACACGCGTGTTTCGCCGACATTATGCCGCTGCGTGGCGCAGATGCGAGGGGTTTCGGCTCGTCAATGGGTCCCCCAACATCCCTCGTCTGCTTTCTGGTAGGTACTCCAATTTAGAAAGTGTCGCTGAGAGACCCACTGACGAATCGAACCCCTCGCGGCTGCGCTATGCAGTGGCAGAATATCGGCGAAACACGCGTGTACGGGCTGTTGGCTAGTACCTGTGATGTTGGTATGGAATCATTTTACCATCAAATATACTAATAGCTGCCTGTCGGCAGATAATAAATAATACGCGGTTACCCGCTGTGGCTAATGGACTTCGGCCCATATGTTCATACATGTAAATTCTCGGTCTGAGCCTATAGACCTTGAATAAACTGATATACTCCAACTTTGTAGATAATTTCTGAGGAAATGTAAAAGCAACAGTCTCTAAATTGGAGTATCTACTAGAAAGCAGACGGGGACTGATGGGAGACCCCTCGCAGCTGTGTCATGCAGCGGCAGAATATCGGTGGAACACGCGTGTATGGGCTTTTGACTAGTACCTTTGATGTTAGTATGGCATTATCTTACCCTAAAGTACGTATAAACTGTTTGGTACTGAAACTGCTGTATCGGGAAGGCCTTTTAATGTAGAAAGCTTTCTATAATCCCGTCGGACAGCAGCAGATCCATGAATTAATGAAAAAAATCACAAGCGGTCGGCCGCCAGTACCGCGGTTTCGGAGAGTCGGAGTTATAGTTTAGGTTTCAAGTCACGTTGACTTGGTTGGACACTGACTTGAAGTGCCTGAAACCTCCATTTGAAAGTCATCCCTAGATAAGGAATTCCTATGCGCTATTCGTCGAATTTTCTCATACTAAAATTGCTTTTATCAGTGGTTTTTGAATTTATCGAAAAAAATACCATCTGCTAAACTAGGGTTTAAGGAGTAGTTTGCGAAAAAGCAAGGTCGATATTAGAAGAGGAAGAAGAAGAATTAGATTATGTTATGGTTGTTGGTGGTGGTGGTGGTGGT